ATTTAACCAAAACAGATGTCACCATACACACAAAAACAGTTATATGCTAAAGTATAGATTCCTGGGGCAGGCCATTTCAGAGTCAAAAATGAATGGTGAAAGAATTTCAAGAGCAGGGTCAAAAGAGAAAAAAAGAATGAACACTTTCGCCAAAAATAACCAACCCAGAATATATATGCTCAATACAAAAAAAAATGCTAACAAATATGAAAACATCACATTTTGTACAAAGATTGCAGAACAACAGCTGCAAATAGCTTTTTGCCTGCAATGGCAGCCATTTTGAAATCAGATTGAAACGTCTCAAGCAAGTTCAGATATCATCACTAACAGGTGGGAACAAGCATGTTAGGTTTTAGCTTTTTTGACTCTGTGGTTCCTGAGTTGATGATGTCACAGTGATAAGAAATGCATTTTGTGAATAATTTTAGAACATCACTGTGTTTGAGTGCCAGCAGGTGAACTATGACAAAATTGTCAGTGGTGAGTCCAGGCAGAGCAGACAGACGCAACTAACTTGATCTGTAGAAAACAGTAAAGGAGCTTCAGACGTTTTGCCCAAATACAACAGTGCTTCTGAGCCTCAGTCTTATAAATCATGAAAGCAAATCATTGAGTTGGAAGAACTTACATCAGAAGTGACAAACTAATTCACATAATCTGCAGTGAATATGTAACTCCTCCCACCACCAGATCACAACCAATCAAAATGTGGACCTATCCTCACCCCTCATCATCTGCGTGAACGTCTACAGTTTGCCCTACAACACCAAAACTGGCAATACAGGCAATGGAGAACTGTTCTGTTCACAGATGAGAGCTGGTACTGAGTATCAACTGCAGATGGCAGAACAATAATATGGCGACGACGTGGCTAGCGTTACTCAGACCAATGTGTTATGGAAAGAGACTCATGGGGAGGTGCAAGCATCATGGTATGGGGTGGAATAGGCCTGAACCAGAGAGTGGGTCCTGTGGTGTTCCAGAACCTTGGTTCAGGGAGAGGAAGCAGCATCACAGCGGTGCGCTACATCGACCAACCTCTCAGACCCCACATCATACCACATTTCGCACATCACCGGAACAACATTTTCCAGCATGATAATGCCCAGGCCAATACTGCCAGAGCTACACGTGACTTCCTACAGCAGAACGGTGTCAACATTATGCAGTGGCCAGCCCTTAGTCCTGATTTAAACCCAATTGAACATCTTTGGGATGAAATTCAGAGGAGACTGAATAATGTCATACCAAGGCCGAACACAGCCGATTTATTGCAGAAGGCCTTTCTCAGAGTGTGGTTCCAGGTGCCAATGGCCTTCATCAATCGATTGGTGCACTCCATGCATAGACATTGTGCTGAAGTTATTGCCGCTCATGGTGGTCACACTAGATACTGAAGTCAAGAGTCTGAATGGACTGCAAACGTTCACGTAATGTCTTGGAATTGTGCTGAGTTATAAATTGATGTGTCAGGATATTGTACACAAAAAAATGTTTTTGATCCGCTTATTATGTCCATTTCTATAATGATTTGATTACAGTGCCTATCTAATTTTGAATTCATACTGACATTTTTTTTGCTGCTGAGTATATTTACTGTGAAGAAATACAATCAATCATAAAAAAACCCAATATACAGGGACTCCCCAAGACTGAGAGCAACAAACTTGAAGGACACTGACTCAGAAGTTTCTGTAAAGTTACAATGATGAAAGCAGGTGTTAATGAAGGTAATGAATGTTCTGACCCACAAACTCAAGTCATAAAACTTGTTCTTCAGAGTATGGAACAAGTTGGGTGGGTTTGTCAACAGGTTTGTGAATAGCCTTTTCGCTCATCCTTTGTGAGATGCTGTACACACACCATCATACACCATGCTGAGTCCGACCAGACTCCACATCAGTAGACACAGCTGCATGGCAGGCACGCTGTGTTACCCTACATATATACAAGACAGTGATACAAGTAATGGAACTCTGTGAAAATCCTAACATTCTACTAGCCCTCAGGTTACCTGTAACATTCCACTGACTGGGGCCAAGTTGCAAAATGCATCTTGAGTGCACGGTATCAATTATAACAAGAAGACAAAGTCATCAATATCCCCCGCAATGGCAACATACTCTTCATGATTATGTCTACGAGTTATGATTATGTCAAATGGTGACATATATAGAAAGGTGTGTATATAGAAAAGTGGAAGGGGAGTATTAAAAGGTTTTGAAAGTTCTGCTCCAGAAAGAAGCACTATCACCAATTTCAGTGAAACTTGTTGCCATGGAAATGCGAAAAATATTTTATTCAGAATTCCAAAACAACCAAAAGGCACAAGTACACCACCAGATCTATCTATGTGCCAAGTTTGGTGAAGAAATATTGAATGGTTTTAGAGTTCTACTCTGGAAAAGAGCACAACCACCAATTTCAGTCTAAGTCAAACTTGTTGCCATGGAAACGCAAAAAAAAAATTATTCAGAATTCCAAAACTACCAAAAGGCACAAGTACACCACCAGATCTATCTATGTGCCAAGTTTGGTGAAGAAATAGTTAACAGTTTTAGAGTTCAGCTCCGGAAAAAAGCACTACCACAATTTGAGGCTAAGTGAAACGTGTTGCCAAGGAAACGCCAAAAATATTTAATTCAGAATTCCAAAACAACCAAAAGGCACCTAGTACACCACCAGATCTATCTATGTGCTAAGTTTGGTGAAGAAATATTAACGGTTTTCGAGTTCTCTGGAAAAGAACGCAACCACCAATTTCAGTCAAAGTCGAACTCGTTGCCATGGAAACGCCAAAAATATTTTATTCAGAATTCCAAAACTACCAAAAGGCACCAGTACACCACCAGATCTATCTATGTGCCAAGTTTGGTGATGAAATAGTGAACGGTTTTAGAGTTCTGCTCCGGAAAAGAGCACTACCACCAATTTCAGTCAAAGTCGACCTTTTTGCCATGGAAATGCCAAAAATATATAATACAGAATTCCAAAACTACCAAAAGGCACCAGTACACCACCAGATCCATGTATGTGCCAAGTTTGGGGAAGAAATATTGAACGGTTTTAGAGTTCTGCTCTGGAAAAGACAAATGTGCACGGACGGATGGACGGACTGACGGACGGACGCACGCACGGACGGAGTCCATTTTAATACCCCCCGCAAAAAATAAAGAATATTTTAGCTAAGGTTGGAGACAAGTCCAAAATAGTCATTCAATATTTACTGTGTAGCCATTTAACATTTACCTTGTAGCCATCAACCACTTTAGAGAAACCCATGAAGAGTCAGGTGGTGTGAAAACCAAGGACCATGAAGAGAAACCCTCAGGTTTATTCCCACTGTCAGCAGATCCTGGTGTGACAGTACAAAAAGTGGCACAGACTGGTGTGTGCAGAGATGCCCACCCTGAATCTAAGGGAAACTGAGTCATGACTGTCTGAAATCCAGGCCTGAGCACCAAAGGTGCGAGTTGGGGGTGGCTCTGCCATTTTGTTTCACTTTCATACGGACTATGACATGCATTCGAAAAAACTTTGTGAAACTTCATCGTCAATAACACGCAATATACACAATTGACACCCAAAGGATCACACGCTAAGCTTCTGAATGCTTTTACCAGTGTTCACTCAAATGACCAAATAAGAGTTTTCTAAAGAGAAATCGGAGAGCAGATTTTGCATTTGAAAATTGGAGTAACTCTGCCAAAATCGGAGTGGTTGGCATCTCTGCACTGTCTGATGCTTAAAACCACATAGCCAACCATGGCAACTCACTTAGTCAGGATGCATTTAGATCAAGCAAATTATTCAATTCATAGATAAATAAGGAAGCAGAAATGGAGATACGCTGCATATCTGCGTAAGTTACGCAAATATTTATGTGAAAACTCAATTCATTTTGTCTTTTGCATACAATTTGCTTGGATTTTTGTAAATACTCAATAAATTTGATTTTGCATGTGTACACACAAAAATGTCAAATCGTAGCTTGCATACCGGTGGATAGATAAAATAACATTGTATTGAGAGGTTCTATTTCAGCACATGAACTTGGTAACTTGCAGTCTTTCATATCGTTTCTCATATTACAGTTCAAATATAGATAACAAACACGCAAACCAACATGTAAACTTTACCATATTTTTACAATTAATGGAAAATGGCAAAGTACCCAAATGAGTTTGAGTGAGGTGGGTTACTCAAAGGAAAATTAGGATACCCAATTGAGATGAACACAAGCGAGTACATAACTCAATGACCCAAAAAAGTTATCTGTAGCTCTGAGGATGAGACTTGGGGCATTAGATTTCTTAAGACATTTATCTGTAATGTGTTGCTAAATAGATTTGTGATTTAAACATTTCAGCAGCTGGGGTTTTAAAATGTAAATAATTTTGTTGATGACGAAAAACAAGTAATCAGTCTTGCCCAAACATACACTGACATTACAACCGTAATGAGTGAGTGAGTGAGTTTAGTTTTACACCACACTCAGCAATATTCCAGCTATACATTCCAGCGGACTGTAAATAATCGAGTCTGGGCCAGACAATCCAGTGATCAACAGCATGAGCATCGATCTGCACAATGACAACCATAATGAGAGTAATGCTGGGAAACTGACTTGACAGTGACAAAACTATCGGTTACATTTCACAAAATAATCAAATTCTTCTTCTACAGTAGGTCAGATACACCTGACTTTTCTCATCAGTGATCATACAAAGATAAGGAACAGGGTCCAAACCAGCTGAAAACCTCAACAACAGCATGATCACAGCACTACAAACATCACAAGTCCATTACTGCAATATGGACTTTTCAAATTCAGTGCCTAGATTGCTTAGATTGCTTCATGTGTGAACTCACAGGTCCTGACCCATCACATGAATCAAAGAATCTCCAACATGCCACCTGTCCCTTTAAAAACATCAGTTGAGAAAAGAAAAATATAATTAACTGTGTGTGACTTTCTGACAGAAGACTTAACTCACCTTCTCTGTTGAGACATCTGTACGTGCCCCGGCGATCAGTAAACAATCCTAGATGAACACTGTGCTCATCCTCCACACGAACATCCGCATCTTGATCTGTAAACCAACAGACACAGTGTTACTACATACAGACAGCTATCAGACACAGTGTTACTGCATACACACAGCTATCAGACTCTGTCATCTAGGCCCCAGTCTATGATGTAATTGTTCAAGATCTCATTGACCTTCACCTAGTGACAATCTGGCTGGTCAAAGTCCTACACAGAGACCAGGTAGGTGCAAGTATTTATATCTGCATGTTGGTTTACATTGCAATGGAAAATGACATTGTCTACTGGCTGGCATGTTCAAGTGATGCATCAAACACATGACAGAAGAGCTGTATGCTATTCAGAAGAAGTTAGAGAACAGTGGACTGGTTCGAGTTAATCTGTCATGCAGTGACAGATTAACAAAATCTCATGAAAAAATCGGGGCCATATCAGGCAGATCTAACAAAGCTGTTACCTGTTCGAATGAAGCAAGTGGCAGTGCACAGTGGTAATGTATGTCAACTCCTGTTCCTTATCTGTATATCAAAGAGTGTGTGAGTGAGTGAGTTAGATTTTACACCACTTTGAGCAATATTCCAGCAAAATATCACCACGGGGGACACCAAAAATGTCCTTCACACATTGATTGTACCCATGTGGGATAATCGAACCCAGGCCTTAGGCATGACGAGCAAATGCTTTGACCTCGAGACTACCGAACCACCCCGTATATCAAAGAGAGCTACAGGAATACTGGTGAACATATAGCATTCCACTAAAAGGCTTTGATATGTGTAGGGATTGCTAGCTTGGATAATGAGATGTGATGAAAATTGGTACGGGTATCCACAGGGTTCATAGGCCTGAAAAGTAGAGGGTACATGGTAAGACTGATCTGGTGATCATGAAACTGTGGTTTGTTGTTCACACTATCAACCACTGGTTTGATTGGTTCGGGCCCGGTCACACAAGTGGCTGAATGACATTAGGGAAAATACCACATTCCCTTACTCAGCTGTTTCTGAGAAATACCTTTTTCTACATGAGTGAGTGGTGCCATGTGTAATAGCACAAGATGGTTCTTCATGACAAGCCTGAGGTACTGCAGCGTGAGTCTTGGAACCTCCAGAGTGTAATGTGGTCATGAGACAAAAGAGGTCATATCTTCACATTCAGGTTATGTCATTCAAAAATGCATATTTCTTGCAATGTGTCTTTTTCATTTCCACCATGCTTCATTTTTGGAAATTTTACAATCTTACTTTGCAATGTTGTAAGCCACCATACCAGTCCATCATACTGATTCATCTTACAGAGCCATACTGGTCCCATTTGCTTAGGCACCTTACAGGGCCACCTGACCGGGGCATCTGACCGGGATACCTTATTGTGCCACCCTACTGTCTGCCTGAATCAGTCTCTGGACAGGGGCACATAACTACTTGGCCACATTACTGCCTGTAGACTAGAAAAATCCCTTTCTGTTCTTCAAATATTGCATACTTACGGCATAAAAACCCCAGTGGTACAGATTGTTGACAAGTTACTGAGCTCATCACTAGTTACATCTACACGCAAATTGTACACATACCATCCACAACGACAGACACCCACAGTTATGCACATGGACTCCATACCTCTTGCGATCATCTGCTGCGCCACAGCATAATGTGAAAAACTTGTCTGTGAGGACAAGAAAAGATTCATCACAAGCACTTCCTAAGTTACACTGGAAATACTACATACTTGTTTTGTTGACCGATTAACTAATAGGCTGATATTTCCGACAATGAAAACCCTGCAAATAAATCATACAGCACAAAGCCAGGAAGTTGGATCAATTTGGTGAAGGAAAAGAAATTGGAAATCTATAACATGGTATCAGATGTGACAGAGTTAATTAGGAAATACTGTAATACATCACTCACAGGTCAAGATGCCGCTTGATAATTCAATCTACTGTTTTGACATCATTACTATTCATTACACACACAGACAGGCTATATACATCTATACTGATGGAAATAGGTATTACTGATGCAGAGCCTGTCGTTCACTCAATATCAGGATGACAGTCACATGGGACAACCAGGTGGGTCAGTGAGTGAGTGAGTGAGTTTAGTTTTAGGCCAGCTTTTAGCAATATTCCAGCAATATGCAGTGGACTCCAGAAATGGGCTTCACACATTCTACCAATTTGGGGAATTGAACCCGGGTCTTCGGCTTGATGAGCCAAAGCTTTAACCACTAGGCTACCCCACCACCCTAGGACAGATAGAAAGTTTCTATAATATGACTCCACATCTAACTCCGTAGTTTTAGGTCCATAAAACATGGTTTATACATTGTAATGTATGATACATTCGAGCTGATTTCTTGCTCCTCTTTTCCCAATGAAACAAAGTTCACGAAAATATTATCTGTAAAATCATCTCGAGACATAGTAAATCTATCAAAATATATCCTACATCTATCATCTCTTGTCAGAAAATAAATGTTAATATGTTGTTTACTGCCATCTTGAATTTGAATTTGTATTTGTATATATGTTTACAATATATGCTCTTGTACCACCAAGGTGGTTTATGACAATAAAGAATTGAATTGCAGGGATTTGAACCCTGACTTTCAAACAAGTCTAACACACTGCCCAATCAGCCACTGTCACCTCACAGATGTAGAGACGGATGTGTCCTTTTCTTCAAAATCAAGCAACTTAGGAAAACAGTCCATGCATTCCTGGTCATTAAAACCCCAAATTGCGGAACATGGTACTGATATAGTTTTTATTGAAACAACTTCAATGCAAGGGGATTCTTGCCCTTCAAAGATGATTATGATCATAGGTTAAAATATATTCACTCTGAATGCAGTCTTGCATGGTTAAAACACAACATATTTCTGTCGTAATAACCACCCTCCATCCCACTACAAGGCCAACAGGTTATCAACCAGGTTTTACTCTGCTAAGTGCAAGGTATGAAGCAGCATACGACACAATATGTGCCAAATATGTCAGACTTGAATCACTTCCTTGGAGACATATCTTAAACATATTCCATATCTAGAACATAAGTTTCTAGAGTATATCAATTTAATAGTGAGTCAACTTATTCAACACCGAAGTTGAAATATCATGCTCCAGGTCTGTCCTTCTGCTTGGCCTCCATTACCCAGATCAAAGAATAAACACCAAGACATGTTTTTTTAGGAATATGGTATCTGCACTCTTGATATGCATTGACATATGCAGAACTTCATCTACTCAAATTCAACACCAGAAATGGGCTTCACAGATTGTACCCATGTGGGCAATTGAACCTGGGTCTTCGATGTGATGAGCGAACATTTTAACCACTAGCCTACCCCACAGCATTACTCAAATTCAGAGGATGGCATGCATAACACAGGGTAACAATCGTGTATGAATTACAGACTGTTGGAATGACTTCATTTTCATGCCATTCAAGATTACATCTCACACTGCACCATCTGAATATATTATACATGTAAATATGTAGGTGTATTGGGATTCAAGCTACAGTCGGACAACATTTCTCAGTGTACCTCAAAGCATCATTGATACATAATACACAATAGTACATGAAAGTGGTAACAACAGATGTCATCTCTTCTGCACAGACCGTACATCAATCTAACAGGGACCATCCAGCAGCCATTGTGCCAGACATCAGGGTTGGTAACTTCAAAATGTTACCACCCCAAAATAGATTTAACCAGACCAGACAATCCCAAAACAATAACTTAATATTTAGTTACAATGAAAACTTTAATGAATCTGAAACATGTATTTACTGCAGAACTCCACTCATCGATAGGTGTCGCTGTTTTAGTGATAATATACGTCAGCGCAGTGCTTTGAGCTTGCGATACGATAGTTCAATGTTCAAACAGTAATTGTCAAGTCTAAATGTAATGTTCAATTTGAAAAATAGATTTTAAGATATGGTGAATTTACTCAGATGTATGGAACATGTTATCCAAAATTTTTACCAGACAATGGGCAGGCCAGCTGTAAATTTAGACCGTCTGTCAGAAATCTAGCCAGTTTCGGTTGGTCGGACGGGAGTTATTTCATACACTGATAATGCTAGCAAAAAAGATTAATAATTGGAAGTACCATCGATGGGAAGAATTATCAATGATCATCAATAGAAACATTGTGTCATCTATAATACAGTACTGAAACATTTGAGAAATACAGTTTACACACATAATGCATGATGGACCCACCGACATTATATCTTTATTCAAAACCTGCTGTAAAGTGTGTTCCGGATGCTGTTTTGGTTGGCAATCCATGAATAAATGTATCGCCACTCACCAGTTATGTGAAATATCTTAATTTCATAGTGAGTTTTTTAACATTTTTGTTTAGATATACTTCTCAGGCATTTATCAATAATTGATCGATATTTAGTTAACGATTATCGATTTTCCTTGATCCATATCGATCGCCAGCCCTAATCGTGGTTGACTGATCCTTACCTAGTTGACTTCTGTCATGTACCCAACAGATTCTCTGTCAGTTGATTCATAACAAATCTGCAATCAGCATCAACTACAAACAAGATTTACTGATTTAAAAGTACAAACCCCCAAAAATCTGCTCATTTTCCTGACAAGAATTTCATTATACCTGTGAAATAAGACGATCACAAAACTAGCTGCAGCAAGTGTGAATGTGACTGTTTTACATTAACTGAGACAGTACCCACAAACACAGAGGAATTCTAAAGATCTTAATTTCATTGAAATCTGATTCTCCACTGGGTCAAAAATCCTGGAATGCTTCAGAAATAGGCATCACTTCCAAATGCCATTCTCCATCTTCAACACCAGTATCTTATTGTAAGTGTTTCAGATCAGTCATTCACTGCAATGTAATAGAGTGGAGAGTTAGCCTATAAATACACCACTTCTCCAGTGGTGTGAAGCCCAGCTAAATATATAGCAGTGCCAACTCGCTCCCTGACATTGTTCTGACCTCACTTCCAGTACTTACAGAGAGTTATGTTTGTTTCCTGAGGCCACCAAAAC